AAATACGTTCAACTAACGTTTTTAACGTTCAATACGTTCAAATTACGATTTCAACGTCCAATACGTTGAACTTACGTTTTCAACGTTCAATACGTCGAATGTACGATTTGAACGTTCAATACGTTGAATCTACGACTTAAATTTCGACTCGGGTATTCCTATACCATTATGGGAATGGTTCCCATAATGCTATAGGAATAATTCCTATACTATTATTGGAACTATTCCTATATCGTTATGGGAACTAATCCCATAATATTATGGGAACTATTCCTATAATATTATGGGAATGGTTACCATAATGCTATAGGAATCATTCCTATAGCATTATGGAAATGGTTCCCACAATATATAGGTTTAAATCTTACGCGGAAAAAAAAAATTGGGGCTGCCACATGATACATGCCTGTGGAAGATTCATGTGGCAGGCAATAATGGTTAAAACAACTATAATAATTAAATAATAATTTATATTATTAATAGAATAAGAACAATTTTGTCTCCTGGATAGTCACATGATGAAATCGATTTTTTTAATGAAATTAAGTGTCATTGCAAAGGACATGACTTGAATTTGTGCCTTTTCAAGGTTTTATATCATTCTCGTCGATAGTCAATTTATGATGAAAGATATTTAGGTTGCATTCGAAAATGCTCTATCTCTAGATACATAATTAAGAAATGACTTTGTATCTTATGAACTATTGACATTTTTAAAGGTATAAACTAACATTAATGTTACACTCATCGAGACCTTTCATCTGAGTACCCACATCAATTTTTCATATATTTTATATATATTTATATATATTATGTATATGTATATATGAAAAATATATCAAAAATGCATGTGGGTACTCAAATGAAAGCTCTTGATGAGTGTAACGTCGGGATGAGCTTATATCTTCAAAAATGTCAATAGTTTACCAGATCCAAGGTCATTTCTTCATTATGTATCTAGACACAGAGCATTTTCGAATGCAGCCTAAATTCTTATTATAATAAATTGACTATTGGTGATAATGATATGAAACCTTGAAAAAGCACAACTCCAAGCAAAAACTCATTTTATCACATAAATACACTGGCCATAAAATTTTCCTTATTCTCTTAATAATATCGATTATTATTATTCTATTATTATTGTTGTTTCAACTATTATTGCCTACAGCATGAAAATCATGTGGCTGCCCCAATTTTTTTTTCTGTGTATATATTGTAGGAACCATTTTGAACTCACTCCGCACGAACATTTTATCTTTATTTTATTTTGAGAATGATTCCCATAATGGTATAGGAATGATTCCTATAATGTTCTAGGAATCCTTCCTATAGCATTATTGGAATAGTTCCCATAATGATATAGGAACCATTACTATATCATTATGGGAATATTTCCCATAATATTATAGGAATGGTTCCTATAATTGTTTAGGAATCATTCCTATAATTATAGAAACCATTCCTATACCATTATGTGAAAATTTCCCATCATTATGGGAAATTTTCCCATAATTCTAGGAAAATTTCCCATAATTCATGGGAACAGTTCCTATAATTACCTGGGAACTGTTTCCATAAAATTATAGGAATAGTTCCCATATTTTTCTTTCCGTGTAGATCATTCAACTCTAACCAACCTTCAATAGCAGCAATAATAATAGGATTTAGCCCCGGTCTACGAGTATCGTTTTTTCTGATCCGACTGGAGCCACCTCTCAAGTTGCTCTCCAATAATACATCAGTCTCAAATGATGCCCGGACGAGAGAAATTCCCATCGTTGTAAATGAAGACTGAGAAGATGCTGTGTCCCATTGCCGTTGAGTGACGAAGACTTCTGAACCTTCATGGCCGATTTCAACCTGAGAATGGTAGATTTTCAGAAAACTTATGTCTGCATTAGTCGTAAAAGGGTCGTAAAAGTGTAGAATCTAGACAAACAGTGTAATTTTTTTGGACTTTGACTCAATTATAATCGCAACTATAATGACCTCAATTATCCAAAATAATTCTTTATACACTTCTACGATAATCAAAAAAGGTATTCAGATGTTCAGACTAGGCCATCAG